AGTTGACCTCTAATCCGACCCGACCGCCCCCTGTCCAAAGATTACGTCACCGTCCGAGACTTGCGACTCGCCCGTCTCAGCCCGGACGACGACGAAATCGAGATCGTCTCTGCCGCCTTCGTCTACCAGTCAGAGCGAGCGCCCATCAGCGTCAACGTCGACCTCGACGTCGCAGAGTGCCACGCTGTCCCCTAACCATTCGCCAACTCCACCTTCCGCGGAGAGCCGTCACACACCCACCAGCCATACACCCTCCCGCACATCCTCCACGCCGCGCCCGTTGACGTCGACTTTGATCCAGTTGACGTCGACACCACCCTCGCCGCGCCACTACTGACGCCTGTCATCTACGTGTAGGCGCAACCGGAGCTCATGGATTTCGGCGACGAACCCAAGGACGTCATTGTGTGCTCTGCGCCGCGCCCCCGCCCACGGCCCTCGACCTCCTGCCACGCCTGCAGCCTTGCGTTCCGCTCGCACACTACGCTGCGCATTTCCCGTTACAAGCTCGACCTATGCGCCCGCTGCGCTCTGCGCGCCGTCGCTGTAATCGACAACCTTCCGCCCATCCAGGACGAAGGCATGATTGCCTCGAGCCTCAACTCGCTTCCCACGTGCATGATGCATTCGTCACCAGCTTATCTTCACTGGGAGAAGTCTCATGCTGTTGGTGTTTACGGGCACATCAGGGGCCTATCGCAGTTGTGGGAGAACAAAAGGCGAGGAAGCCCGCTCGCAGGGCTTGAGCTGACGCACGGTGACCACCGCCCGTGTCCGACGACAGGATGAGGATGCGCAGCGGTAGGAAGAAGGGTGCATGTGTTTTAATGACGACATGCCGAACTAATCGCCATGTAACTAAAGAATTGGGTCTCTACTTTTTTGCCATTGCCTCTATGAGAGCCCTAAACTTCTCTACCTCAGGCTTCTGCTGTTCAATGCGCTCTTCGTGACGCTCTCGCCTTTCCTCTTCCCTTTCCATCTGCCGCTTGAGTCGCTCCTGCGCACGTTCCTCCCTACTGCACTCTGCCATGCGGCGATCAAAGTGAAGGCGTTCTCGCTCTAACGAGATCTTGGCAAGGTCGGCGTCCCTCATATGTTCTCCGAATGCCTCAAGGCCATCGTCAGCCTCATATCCTATTCTATTTTTCTTCCTTTTCTCTTTCGCACTTCCATTCGTGCTACCACCGTACGCTTCGCTCTCTATTTCGTCGAATACTATGGCGCCAGTACCATCATTGCAGCTCCCATCTTCTGTCCCTGAGTCTTTGGTGGACTTCCGCTTCCGGGCAGACGCCGTCAGGGCACGGCCCATGCGTTATTTGTCTTCTTCCTTCTTTTTTCAACCAACTTCATGGATTTTTTTCGCGAATCCCAGTCATCCCGAGCCTCTCTCCAGTTCATGAGGAGGTCAGCCAACTCCCCGATCTCCCCTCCACCGACTCCGGACAATCTCTGATTGTCTGAGTCATTTTTATCATACTGATCCTGAAGCCTCTTGCACTGGTCCTGAACTGTCTTCCAACCGATACTATCCATGCCTTGGAAATGTAAAGGGGGGGGCACGCAAAGATGGGACAAAAACTGCCAATTAGCATCATAACTCTGCTTCGCAAACACTCTAGGAACTCATTTCACTATCAATCAACCTGTCACGCCGGTACCAATGAGACCTCTGCGCGTGGCGAGAATCCTGTAAACAGTACCGGCACAAGGGGACTAAACGTGCATTGGAACTGTTATGGACAAATGGAGAAGAAATTCTCAGAAAGATCGGACAACCCCAAAAATTAGCCCAATAATTTGCCTTTATTTCAACTAAACCGACTTTGCCACGTCATTTCGGTTCATCCCAATATTCTGCGAAATGAGCTCGAAGTGGCAACACTTTCAAAGTGCGAAGCTTTGCCACCAATCGACGCTCTCCTAAGGACCGTGTTCTCACCTGATGCCCACCTCGTAACACTTTTCCACGACGTTGCGCTTTGCGTGATCGGTTTGTGGCAGGCTGGGATTTTTTATGACTCGTGTGAGCTCTGTTTCTAGCTTTTTGATTTCTTTTGAACGCCGCCTGCGCGCATTGCCTCTCTCCTTTCTACGAACCAAATGGAGGGCTTGCGGTGCAGTCACGACACAACTATTCGTGGTATCCACAAACCCGGACGCGGTCATTACTGCATCGGAGCCTAATATTTTTCCTTAGTTTCAGCCATCTTTTTTTAAAGGCAGCATCTAATTCCTTCACCGTCAGGATGGGGGCACCGACCATTGCGGATGCTGGACAAGGGTTGCCAAGGATACGACATGGGTCCAACGGCCACAGTCCAGATCGTAAAAAGCTAGCACAGATGTTGTCTCGAGTAACCGACATATCATATGCATACCACAGCACACTGCAAAAATCGTAGACATCAAAAAGTTTGTCTGCAGCATGCAACATGCAGTTCTGTAAACCAATGTCAATGTAGTGTTTGAAGGATGAGAACAAAACTGAGTCACACGGCTGGGTCTTGCCGGACGTGTGGCAAGGAAGGACGTCTACAACAACGTTATGAAGACTAAATAATTCAAGAACTTCCAGTGACAGATGCGATTTGTATCCATCGTAAACGAGAAGGACGCTTCTGTTGTTCTCCGTTAGATCAGAAACGTAGAGGACGAACTTTTGAGCCCAACCGATAAAATTACGGCGATCCACGCCTCCATTTTCCTCTCTCATCGCTAGCACAGAGTGTCTTAGAAGAACCGACAGCGGTGTCTCGGCCACTTCTGTCCCATTACGTATAGCAATCCTGTAAGGAACTCGAGTCCCTTTCATTACAAACAATGGCGGACCGTGTTCTCCCGCAGCCGAAATAACAGGCATCATTGTAATTCTCGCCATGCTCGCAATATCAAGACGCCGCATGTCCCTTGCCACGCGGCGGGGCATCAACCTTCGTGCCCGAGATTTTGCACCTGCATCGCGGTTTGGAGTACAACCACATTCGTCGAGGTTAAACAATCGGGAAGCGTCAATTTGATACTCACTGATGAGCTTTTTTAGAGTAGCAAAATGATTTGTAATGGACTCAGAATTGACTTGGCGAAAGCGGACAGCTTCCTGAGTAACCGGTCGAGCAAAGACTAGTTCTTTGGAGTGTCGTTGACGAAAACGGTACAAAAAAGCGTTGCTCGGTGCTTTGAAATTCCATTCAGCTGGCAGAAGCTGGCGCCGTGCGGCAGGCATTCGTGAAATGAGGATTTGAATGGCTTCACGAAGGTGTTCTTGAGTCATGGGCAGCCCCTTATTAGCGTTTTCTATTAAAAAACTGACTACAATTCGCTCCTCGGCTGCTGTGAAGGCTGCTTTTTTTCTGTGCTTCTGCACAGCGGTGTGCATTCTTCGCTGCAGTGTTGCCCGTGGTATGCCAAACTTGGTCTCAGCGGCCCGGTACGTGTTTTTGTCGCGCAAATATTGAAGTGCCTCATTGATTGAGGCAGGTGCTAAAACGCGTTTTCGCGATGCCGGCATAATAGGGTTGACTGGGTTGGTGCAACGTTCAATTGTTCAGCAGTCTTGAGAGGGTACGGAGGGACTTTGTGGACACTTTGAAGGCAGTTGTGCTCATATGATGTCAATAAGAGGATGGGTCGGGGGGTTGTTTTGGGCGGGAAAGTCAATGGAAAGATTAGTTTTTGAATCGAGCCACACAGTTTCGAGCAACGGTGACTTTTCTCCGACGTTTGGTATCACCAGAGATGCTCCAGCAATGCAAAACGCAATTTGTGGGCTTTTTGCGACAATTTATGTTGTCTCATGATTAGGTGATTGTCTCATCTTTGCGTGCTCCCCTTTACGTTTTCACATACTCTTTTGTCTACAGTGGAAAACCTTTTCTTCGTTTCCCTATATTCCGCCAAATGAGCTCGCATGGCAGCGACCTGACGCACGATAGCGAGATCTTGTTGTGCCGTGAAGGGTGAATTCCTTCCACTTTTAGTGCGGGCTGGGTCTCGTGTTTCAGAAAGAAGCACCTCTGACATCTTTGTGTGCTTCTGTGGGCTTGTTGGCAGCTGCGAAACATCTTCGTAGCCTTGTATCATGCATGCATCCGAAAAAACTCCCGCCAATTGTACGACACCTGTCCCTATCATTTCTCACAACCATGCTGAAATTCTCTTCACTAAAAACTCACATTTCGGCAATTTTTGTCACGACTTGATTGCAGAATTCTGTATATGCAATTTTAGTGTAAGGGTTTTTGCAGAATTGTTTGCAGAAATCTGCAGAATCAGGTTTGCGTAAGCTCACTATTTTCTTTGGCGATCTTCGATCGCGGATCCAAAGCCAACATTGGCCCTCACAACTGTACAGTAAAATGCCATTACAGAACGATTCGCTTTACACAACGAGGTCACCGGATCCCAACCGCAAGTTCTCGCAGAGCTGCCGAAGAGAAACACACTCCTTGCTGCTCACGCCTGCCCCCCACCCGCACTTTGTCCATCTTCACCGCCCTGCAGGGGCACCAACCTACGCTCTTCCCTTAACCAACACCACAGAAATGAGTGTCTCCACCGCCCGTCTCATTCCGGCTTTCGCCACCTCTGGCACGTGGGCCCTCCGGCGCTCGCGCCATGCCATCAGTATCTGCCACCGCTACTCTCACGTGGCTCTCCCGCGCCCATCTCTGCGCGGCGCCTATTTCTCGCGCAGCCGCGCGCGGCGCTTGGCCATCCGCTGTGCCTCAGACCCTTCCGCCTCATCCCCCACTTCCGCGCGTCTCTCGGCGCTGCGCGCCGAGCTGTCCCGGCGCGACGTGTCGGCCTTCATCGTGCCGTCGGCCGACGCGCACAACTCGGAGTACGCCCCGGCCAGCTTTGCGCGCCGCGCCTTCATCTCGTCCTTCAGCGGCTCGGCTGGCACAGCCGTGGTGACCGCCGACGGAGCTTTTCTCTGGACGGACGGCCGCTACTTCCTGCAGGCCGAGCAGCAGCTGGACGAGAACTGGACCCTCATGAGGGCCGGGCTGCCCGACACGCCGACGATACCGGACTTCCTGGCGAAGACGCTGCCGAAGGGCAGCGCGGTCGGGATAGACCCGTTTGTGCACTCTATCGACTCGGCGAAGGCGCTGAGGAAGGCCCTGGAGGAGGTGGGGTGCTCGCTCGTGGGGCTGGAGGTGCCCAATCCTGTCGATGTCGTGTGGGGGGAGGAGAGGCCCGCACAGCCGAACGGGGCGGTTTGGCTGCATGGTGTACGCTTCGCTGGGGAGACGGCACAGGAGAAGATTGGTAAATTGAGAGAGCAGATGAAGGAGAAGGGGTGCGACCATGTTTTGTTTTCGATGCTGGACGAGGTCTGCTGGCTGTTTAATATCAGAGGCGACGATATTCCGCACTGCCCTGTCGTCATGTCGTATGCGCTTGTCAGCAAGGAGGAGGCTCGCTTGTATGTTGATAAGGAGAAGTTGGGAGAATTCGTGGAGGAGGCCTTAGTGAAAGAAGGTGTAACAGTGTTGCCGTATGAGCAAGTCTTGGGTGATGTTGGAGGTATTGCGGCTAGAGAGAGTGAGAAGATTTGGCTTGACCCGTCTTCCACCTCTCAAGCCTTAAGCGACGCGGCTGCGGAGGCTGGCGTCAGGGAAACTACACCAGTCCAGATGGCAAAGGCATGCAAGAACGAGGCGGAGCTTCGTGGAATGCGAGAGGCTCATCTGAAGGACGGCGTGGCGTTATCCTCGTTTTTGTGTTGGGTAGAGAATTACGTGAGCAGCGGCGAGAACACGATATCAGAGGTAGATGCAGCTGCAAAGCTCAGAGAATTCAGAGCGGCCCAGGAAGGGTTTTTGGCAACTTCGTTTGGAACTATTGCTGGTTCCGGCCCGAACGGAGCGATTATTCATTATTCACCCACGCCAGGGGAATGCGGCTACATTAGCAATAAGGATGTCTTGTTGTTGGACTCAGGTGGACAGTACGAGGACGGTACCACGGACGTGACCAGAACCATGCACCTTGGAGGCTCAGCTACGGAACACGAGAAGGAGTGCTACACTCGAGTGTTACAGGGACACATTGCCATTGATAATGCCGTTTTCCCCGAGGACACAACAGGACTAATGCTCGATTCACTCGCTCGGATGCCTTTGTGGAGCATTGGCCTGGATTACAGACACGGCACCGGCCACGGCGTAGGAGCTTGTTTAAACGTTCACGAAGGACCCCAGAGCATCTCTCCACGTCTCGGTTCAAACCGGGCTGGTCTTAAGGCGGGAATGATTTTATCAAACGAGCCTGGATATTATGAAGATGGCAATTTTGGCGTTCGGATAGAGAATCTTCTAATTGTTGTCAAGAAGAACACGGCACATGAGTTTGGTGGAAAGGATTTTCTGGGATTCGAGCGGCTGACACATGCACCTATGGACACTAGAATGATCATGACAAACCTTCTCTCGGACTCAGAAGTACGGTGGGTCAACACGTACCACGAGGATGTATGGCAAAAGTTGTCGCCACGAATGGAAGATGGGCAGTACAAAGAATGGCTATGGGAAAAGACGCGACCCCTTCCTGAATGGAGTTCATCCAACCCGGCAACCTCACGACAAAGCTCAGTGACTCGAGCAGGGGTATGAGTGGGCCTATTTTGTAATATTCGGCATAATCTGATTTCGGGAGTGCTCGACAGCATATTGTTCTGACCGTTGACTTGAAATGTGGAATGCTCTCGTTCAAAAGCTTCATGGTGATGAGCCTTGCACACCAGGCTGAGTGATGCCAGCAGCATGAGATCGTCCAGACGAAGACCAGTTAACTGCGGAGAGGATGCAGATTGCTGAGTTAATGTTTTTTACCATGAAATTGTTGCTATCCCTAACGATGAGGTGAAACTTGCTAAAAGATCGCTACATCCAGACGACATTGCATAGCAAAGATGGTCGCAGAGACGTTCCAGGCGCTGTTATGTGGCTACCATCCTTGAAATTTAACGGCAAGGAACGAAGACCACGCCGAAGTAGAGACACAGGAACCGAGTGATATCCAACGGTCTCGTCCCCTGAGGTTCGATCCTTGTCGTAAACCTTGAAATTCAGCACTGCCAGCTCGCGATCTCGAACTGGCATGGTCACACTTTCATGCCACAGAGGAGAAAAGCCGTTGGATTTGACCACTTTTGTCTCATGTTGAAAGGCAGAGCATTCATCGTCGTTCTCAAATACAGTGTCGTACAGCTTCAGGGTGCAGTATGAGTCGTTAACGTCGTTACGCACACCCTTTTCAGGGTTTGGTAGTAGGAATGCTGAGAGAATCTGAATGGAGAGGGTCGCAGACCTCTCAACAGCAGGCATCGTGGACGGCAATACATACCCCCGACCGCCATTCGTCAAGAACCGAGCGTGATTGACCACGAGCGCGGTATCACCGGCCTGCCAGTTCAAAGCTATGATCTGACAGTGAAGATACTGAGCTTGAATGGGAAAGTAGTTTGACGAGTCTATCCGGGAACCTTTTGGATAGACTCTGGTAAGTCCGTGGGAATTGTACTCGCGAATGGCGTCAACGGCTTTGCTAGCGTATACATCTGTTACCTTCTTCTCATTGATGGACACGCAAGATGCTGCCATATACCTCTCCTTTCCTGAAGTGCCGGCTTTCCACAACGCCATAAGCTTCTTCCTGCTTCCCCCAGCTAGAGCGACAAGCGCTGCAAACTCTGGAGCGATGTCGTGCATCTTTTCTGATTTTGCGGTGGTGGGGGTAGACTCTGGTTGTGGTGGGGAATCATCTGCAGATGCCTGCGGGTTGTCTGTGGAATCATCAGAGTCATCGTCTTCAAAGTCGCCTGCGCTTTCCTTCGAGTTGGTATTTTCGTCTTGGAACTGCGGTCGCAAAACTGACATACCAGTCTTCGCCTTGATCAAAATTTTATTCTTGAGACTTTCCGGACTGGGAAGTTGTTCATCTGTCCTATGCTCCGCACCCGGTGCATACAAGGAGTCGCCGAATATACTTGTTATGAGACTTGCTGCAGTTAGCTGCTGGGGCAGTCCGAGATGATTCTCAATAGACACAATGACTGGGTATGGATTTCCATGGGAAAATGAATGGTCTCTAATCGCCTTCAAGACGTTCTCAAGGGTTTCCTTGGAGGTCATTGTATGTCCGTGCTTGACGATGGGGATGCCGTCGTCGCCATCCCAGGCATCGATTTCGACGCAGCGACAGCCTCGCTCGAGCACAATGCGGTACATAGCGGCAGAACTACTGCTTTTCAACTGGTCGCCCGTCAAATAGGTGTTGTGAGACGAGGAGATCAAGTAGCGATTGAGAGGTTGAGTCATGTCATGCAATTGCTCAGCGCGATGAGGATCAGCGATGCAATTATCCGGATGATGCAAAAAGTAAAGCAAGAGCTCCGGGGAGCAAGTGTTCGTGTCGTGGGTGTTAAGGAGTTGTACGGCTTGTTCCTCGCTTTTGGCAAGGATTTCAGCCAGGCGTTGGGGCGTGATGGGGGCGTCAAGGTCGATGTTGAGTATCTTGAAGAGGGGATGAAGCAAGTCCTCTACCGCTAGGCGGAGGATCACGGGTAGGAATTGATCAAAAGTGACCGTGTGTCCAACATCGTCGTTATGAATTTGGCGGTACAGTTTGCGAAGGCGACCGTCTGTAGTCTTGCAATTGAGAGTCTTAGCAACAGCCAGGACCTCCCTCGGCTTGAGCATATGCACATGTCCCCACGCCGCAAGCACAGCATTTGCATACGGGAGCTGATTCCGCACGCGCATGCGCTCCAGGCTAGTCTTCTCCACAAGGTGCAGCCACTCTCGCAGCTGGGCGTCATCCGCGGCGGCGAAGACCAGGTGATGCCTCTTGGCGTCGCGATCGTGGGTTGCGGTTGCGAGCACGGCCGTGACGACGAAGACGTACGGGCGGGCGTGCTTGACTTGCTCTGCGTACGTGCCGAGGCGCACGCCGCCCGGCACGACCAGCATGCCTGGAGTCGGCAGGTGGGCGTCCTTCAGGTGCAGGTCGCGCGCGTAGTGTACGTGGGCGTCCGCAGAGAGCCACACGCGCTTCAGCTTCCACCGCGGCCCCTTCGGCGTGACCAGCCAGGCGCGCCCGCCGCTGAGCTTGCCCATTGAGGTCGAGAGGAGGATCTGGGACGGCGCCATCGCGGAGTTGGGGCTAGGGAACTGGGAGCGGAAGGCCGGGGGATGGGGGAGGGGGTTGATGAGGGGTGGATGAGGACTGCTGGAGGGACGCGGATGTACTGTAATCGTATGGTAAATGGGTGGAAGGATTGCGGGGTTACGTACGGTAGAAGTCTGGTGTGGTGACGCGGTGTGGGCAGATAGATTCCTGGCCAACTCGATCCCGGCGCAGCGCAGGTTACTTGACGAGGGCGCAGGGGCGATGTGCGATGACCAAGGGCGAGCTATTAATCACGTGCATCGCGGCTGCTCATTGGCGCGTGACACCTGTGCAAGGGAGCGGATCCGCGAATTGCATCATATAAATTACTGTCCTGCCTTATTCATTATTACTTCGCCGTTCCCGCGTTGTAAGCACCCCGCACATGGCGCATTATTGCGCCTGTCTCGAGGCCGCTCCTGTTGTCGCCCCTGCGAGCGCGCGCGACTGCGGCTGGAGGCGCCGACTGTCGTCGAAAGGGGCCTTGTGCTTCGCGTGCGCTGCTCTCTGTACGATCAGAGAGCGGGATTGGCGCGCGGAAAAAGGGGGGGGGGGAAAGGAGAAAGGATAGTATGAGAAGGGAAGTAGAGGGGGGGTGAGTGATCCGGCGTTGCGCCTTCAGGGGTGAGAACGGGCTCCGGCTTGTGCCTTCGCAGACTAGAGTAGCGTAGAGTTGCTTGCTCGAGTTGTTTATTGTTCTACCATCGGGCGTGGGAAGCGCGGACGTGCGCGTAGTACATATAGGTCCATGTAAGCTTGCCGTCTGCGGGGACGGTAAGCTTACAGCCCATGTTCTGTAAGCACGCGGGATATCAATATCCAAACTGTGCATCCACAGTTTGGATGGTGTTATCATATCAAATACGCCGTACAGTATATATGCGCGTGCGCGACACCGACGTTGAAACCGTTTTTGAATCCACGCATCGGCCATGGCGCATCGTATGAGAGAATTGCATGTTTGCAAAAGGCGAATTTTGAAGCCAAAAGTGTGAAATTTCGTGAGGAATTCCATGAACGAAATAAAGAGTTAAACTGGGGGAGAAGAAGGAGAAGGAGAAGGAGAAGGAGAGATGGACTACACCCGGACCCCCCCCCCCCCCCCCCCTGTAAACTCAAATTCTAGCTTCCCACACAGATATCAACTCGGTCGAAGGGTTGACGAACGAACATTAAATTCTCCTTATTTTTCCTACCTCCCTGGTGCCAGATGTTTGTTTTCCTGCTGGAAGGTCCGTTTCAGTAATTACATTACACCTTATCATATTCCCCCGAAGTGAGAGGAAGGCTGCACCTAAGGAAACAAGGCCCTTCTTCACTACCCCGCACCCCGCACCCCGCACCCCCTCGCCAATCTACCGTACGCATTTCCGTCCGCGACCCATTCCCTACCCGCGTCCTCCAACCCCCCTCCACACACCATGTCCCCCGCGCCCGCCCCGCTGTCCGAGTGGATAGAGGTCTTCCACAGCAAGCCGTCGATGGCGCACTGCTACCTGCTCGAGAAGCTGCCGTCCGGCGCCTTCACGACACCATCCGCCGCCAACGAGCTCGTAGACGCCTCGCACATCCGGCCGGGCTTCCGCGTGTTCCGCCTGCCCGCGCGGCGCATCACCTTCGCGCTCACCAACGGGACGTCGCGCAACTGGGAGGACAACCACGGGGCCAACTACACGATCGACGCGGTGGCCGGGCGCTACGTGATCGAGCACGGCATCCGGCGCGTGGGCGACGCGGACGGCGCCGAGTGCGTGCAGGCGGCGCTGCGCACGGCCGACAACCACGTGCAGATCCGCTTCCGCGCCGACCTCTGGGGCGCGTGCTTCTGCGCGTACCAGGCCGCCGGCGAGGCGTGGACGCCCGCGCCCGGCGCGCAGATGCGGCGCCTCGACGACGCGCACGGCGCGCACGGCGCGCACGGCGCCAAGCACTTCGAGATCGTCGTGCGCGCGCGCGCCCTGCAGTGCGCGTTTAACGACGGCGCGCAGATCTGGGACTCCAACC